AGATACACCAAGTAATAAACAACACTCACCAGCATCAAAGTCACCAGGGAAGAGGAAAAGAACGAACAGTTCCCATTCCTGTGGTAGAATGCAGGGCCAACGGGGAATTCCTGACGAAGGTACACAGAAAAGTCTCACACACTGACCAAGTACTGAATTTCAACAGCAACCATGCCAATACCCACGAACGAAGTTGTGCGAAAACACTATTTAAACAAGCGACAACACACTGTAGCAACCCAGAACCACGCCAAAAAGAAGAGTACCTCCACCAAGTATTTAAGGACAACGGATACCTGAAAAACTGGATTTGATGATGCCTATCACACGAACAGCAACAGGAAGATACTGCATGCCCTAACACACTCCTCACACTACCATACATCAAGAACATATCCAAACTGACTGCAAGACTCCTACGACCATTTGGCATCACAGTACCACACAAACTCATGTCAACCCTATGCCAACTGCTAACGTGAACAAAAGACCCCTTACCCACTATGGACAGAACCAACATAATATGCAAAATTCCATGCAAGGACTGCGACAAACATTACATTGGACAGATAGGAAGAAAATTGGCCACAAGGGTACATGAACACCAACTAGCAACAAAAAGACACGACCAGTTCCCACTCATCTCCATTCACACGGATAAAGAGAACCGCCAGTTCGACTGGGACAACAGGATCCTAGGACACGCCAAACAGAGACAAGCACTGGAATTCCTAGAGGCCTGATTCTCCACCGAGAAGGCCATCAACAAACACACAGAATTAGACCCTATATATAACCACTGCAAAGGAAAACCAGAAATAAGGTAATCAAATCCAATGGACCCCAGAGTTTGAATACCAGACGAGAAAACACAACAGCGCTTCACAACCCGAGCTACAGATCTACTCAAGAACCTTAGACATTATAATTTATTTATTCTTCAGAATAGTCCGCACACAGGTAACCAAAATTATAATGGTTTCACAAGGATACTTTGATGCCAAATGTAGTTTAGAGGTCAAAGTAGCATCCTTGATTCTTCTATCCTGTAGCAAGTAATGACACATTTGTGCATCTGTGCTTTTGACCCTAAGAGTTTGGTACTCATATGCTGGTGAAAATCCTTTTTGTTCAGTTTTAATTATTTTGAAAAAAAAGAGACATTTTGATGCTGATCAGATAACTTCAGGTCTGGCAGCATCAGTTTTGATGAAAGGTCATTGGACTCGAAATGTTAACTGCTTTTCTCTACAGATGCTGCCAGACCTGTTGAGTTTCTCAAGCACCTTCTGTTTTTATTTCAGATCTCCAGCGTCCACAGTTCTTTGTTTTGCTTTGAAACTGATTGCCTTTCTTGTGTGTTGTCATAATGTCATAAGAGCATAATGTTATGCTCTTATCCTCACTCATGTATGTGACTTGCAGCTACACACCCACCTAAAAACAAAACTGACACACAATAACAGTTCACTTTTTAAAGATCTCATGCATGTAGACTATGGCATTCTCTCAGAAGCCAACACAAGGAATGAAAGTACAAATTTAATAGAAAAAAGTGGATAAATGGGCTGACGTATTTAAACACACATTTCTTTGAAAGGAGCACTTGCATAAAACTTGCAGGCTGGGCAGTTGAGTGAAAAATGGGTTGCTACATAGCTTAATGTGAGATGATAGATGTGGCAAGAAAAACAAATGTCACCAATGCCTTATAAAGTAAATTCTATGGATAGAAGAACAAAGGAATCTAAGGATTCAGGTGAACAAATAATTGAAAACAGCACCATAGGTGACTTTAAAAGAAAAGTGACAAAGAATGTTAATAAAGCACTGGGATTTATTTCTAGGATTGTAGAACTTACAAGTAGTGAAATTGTATGAAACCTGTTTAAAACCTTGGCCAGGCCACAGTTCTAGTTTCCATATTAGAGAAAGGACATTGAGTGCAAAAAGATTTGCAAGGATGATACCAGAACTGAAGAGATTACAGCTATTGGGACACGTTGACTAGGTTGAAACCTTTTGCTTTAAAGACAGATTTTTAGCAACTTAGAACAATTTGTATTTACGTAGCACCTAATAAAATTGTCCCAAAGCACTTCACAGGAACATTACAGAACAAAATATGGCATTAATCCACATACAGAACTTTTTATAAACTCTGTCAAAAACGTATAAGGAGGTTATTCCAGAGCTAAAGCTCTGGACAGTTGAAAATGTGCCTACCAATGGTGAAGGAGTCAAATGAAGCACTATAAATACAATGTGGTTTCAAATACATCTAACAAATACAAAGAAATTTCTTCACGCCACAGTGTGTTTAGAATGTGGAACTTACTACTCTAAGAAGTGGTTAAAGCTAATAGCTTATTTGATTTCAAAAGAAAGCTTAATGAGTGTATAAGGGAAATAAATGACAAAGATTTGCTGAAAGGCTGAGAGAGTTTGATTGCATAGAAGGAAGTTTCCAAACAGCGCAGGCAAATTAAGCCAAATGACATAAAAAGGGCATAGACTGAGGAGTGGCAGATAAGTTTAATTTGGATAAATGTGAGGAATTGCACTTTTGTAAAACAAATAAGGGCAGGAGTCATACAATTAATGGTAGGCCCCTAGGTAGTGTTGTAGAACAGAGATCTAGGGGTTCGGGTACATAATTCTTTGAAAGTTATTTCGCAGGTAGATGAGCTAATTAAGACATTTAGCACGCTTGCCTTCATTGCTTAGACCTTCGAGTATAAGAATTGGAACATGATGTTGAAGTTGTACACAATGTTGATGAGGCCTCTTCTGGAGTACTGTGCAGTTCTAGTTGCTTTGCTATAGGAAGGATATTAAATTGGAGACTATTCAGAAACAATTTACCAAGATGTTGCCAGAATGTAGCGTTTGAGATATTAAAAATAGACTGGATAGGCTGGGACTTTTTTCACTGGAGTGCAGGTGGTTGAGGAGTGACATTATAGAGGTTTATAAAATCATGAGGGGCATAAATAAGATGAATGGCAAGGGCCTTTCCATAGGATGGAGGAGTTCAAAACTAGAGAGCATATTTTTAAGGTGAGAAGATAAAGTTTTTAAAAGGGCATGAGGGTTAACTTTTTTTCCAGAGTGGTTCATGTGTGGAATGAACTGCCAGAGGAAATGGTGGATGCAGGTGCAGTTACAACATCTAAAAGACATTTGGATAAGTACATGAATAGGAAAGGTTTGGAGGAATACAGACCAAACACAGGCAAGTGAGACGAGTTTAGTTTGGGAACATGGTTGGCTTGGACTAGTTGGACTGAGGGGTCTGTTACCATGCTGAATGATATGACTATGCAAGAATAAAGAAGTAATTTGTGTAAATCACTGGTCAAGCTGCGTTTGTGACTGGATTTAAAGCTGTTCTGCTAATAGGACTTGGAGGATGGCTTACTGTGATCTTCCCACACGTCCCTGTCCCACCTTATTTATGTGTGATGATCGCACTGGTGATCACTTTCACCCTGCCAATGGGCCATTTAAAGGTCTCATGTCATGCCTGCTAGATTTAACTGGCAGGGGGAGAGGCCCTCACCAAGTGGCCAGCTCAGCAGATTTCCCTGCGCAGACTGATGTCAGTAGTTGGGATATCCTTCACTGATATTACCTGAGTTCAATGCAGTACCCCAATCCTCAGTACCCTCCCCATGGCTTTCTGAGCCCCTCAGTCTTTACGCCTGTAGCCAGGGTATCCCTGATTTAGTGCTGTGAAAAACCTTGGCCATACCTAATGGATCAAACACTTCATGCTTCCAATACTGGGGAAATGTTAACCTTTGGCCAGCAGTTCTAAGGCAGGATGTCTTATCCCTGAGGGTTGAAAATTCCTTCTCCAGTGTGTCGGTGCCCCCTTCCAGACAAATGGAAATTGAGGAATCCAGTATTATATAATTCAAGCTATGGTGTTTTAAATGCCCTATTTTAGAAGAAAGAATGTTAAAATAATAATTCATGACTAGCATAAATTCAGCCAGATGGTGCCAGATATTGTTGTTGCAATGAGAGTATAGAAGTATTAGAACTAGCTTAGACAGCTCAGATGGTGTAAGGCAAGTATTTTTTTCCCCAAGTTGTTACAAAAGATATTGACCAGGTCAGGTGAGTATAGAAAGATTCGTTTTCTTGAGTAGGTGGTGTGGCCAATGAAGGGATAAATTGTCATGACCAGATTGAGGAAAGAGTTCAGAATAAATTCCTTTTTACAGGTTTATTGAAGCCAGGAATTATTTGCCTCAGAGTTTACGAAAGAGGTAGATAAATATTTGAAAGAGAGTAAGATGCAAAAAGCAGAATAAGAAGAGATGCAGGCCTTTTTAGGGACCAGATAAATTTTGGCTTGGTAATTCTTTTAGTGGCGCAAATGCTAAGTTTCTGAAGATACTCAGTTCATACAATCTAACATCTGACTCCAGACTCAATTTCAGTATTGGACAACTATAAATATGTTTTTTTCTCTACTGTTCAATTTTAATTTATAGATCTAGTTTTGTTTGATCAAGATCAATTTCCCCTTATCCTGCTGTGTTAGTATCACTGTTGTGATACAGGATATCATTTATCCTGTTGTGTCAGTTCGTCAGGATTAGCCTGAGTAACCAAGGCTGGGAAAGTATTTGTTGGAATTTTTGTGCTTCTTTAGTATCAGGCTACTTGTGCACAATCCTAGACATGTGGATGTCCAAGGAGAATACAGCAGGTTTGGTTGTGATAAATGCTCAGCATTGAATATCCTGTCTAATCGTAACATCCGGGATCCTCCATGAAGACCAGGACAAGATTTCATGAAATTTAACAATAACTGGTGTTAAGTTGAAATGATGCCCTACAAAAATCTCAAGTTACGCAAATGCGGAAAATAAAATTGATTGTAATTTTAATCCTTTCAGAATTTTTAAATTTAATACACTTGTACAAGTACAATGGTATAGTAATATCAATTCTGTTCTGCGCTTTTATCACTTTTTATGCTGCAGTGGAGCTGGCAATGATCATGGATAGGCTCTATGGTGGAGTATGCTATGCTGGCATTGACACAGATCCTGAGTTGAAATACCCAAAAGGTGCGGGGCGTGTGGCTTTTTCAAATCAACAAAGCTACATTGCTGCTATCAGTGCTCGCTTTGTTCAGTTACAGCATGGAGACATTGATAAACGGGTAAGTGATGATTAGTGCACACTTTTTGTATTGGAACATGCAAGAAATATTAGTGCTAAAATATAGAATCATAGAATGAAAATTTAGGGAGGTGATGGTGTGGTGGTATTGTCATTGAACCAGTCATCCAGAGGCCCAAATCCCACCATGGCAGATTCGGTGAGGGTGGAATACCCGAATGCTTGATTGGAGTTGTATCAAGCACAATGGAACATTGTTGTAGCTATTGGAGGTTAGCCATTTTAGCTCCAGGATATTTGTGGGAGTTTCCCAGGCAAGTATCCTTGGTCCACGTCCACATCTTGCTGTATTTGGACAATGTCCAGTTTGTTGCAAATAAGTATTTGTGCCAAACAAGTCCTCCACCATCATCATCCTGGGCTTATAATGATCTGAACCTGGACTAATCATATAAATATTGTGCGAATGCTTGCATTTAAGCCTCTCCAGGGGAAAAAGTGATCTGCTTAACCGATAAGAGAAATATTGGCTTTATGGTTCAGCTTTGCTGCTTGACGCATTTTAATAGTCATTTTTAATGGTCATAATTTTAATTATTCATTAAAATTGTCAATTTATTGATTTTTAATTGTTTTTGATTGAATTCATAATTACTGTTATGACAAGCCTTTACTTGTGAAATTTGCTCACCAGCCTCCCAAGAAGAGGGGAAGTTGAAATGTTCTTCCCCCACCCCCCAAACTATATGAAAAGATTGGGATCTTGATCTAGAAACACCAAGGACAGCAAATACATGGGAGCATCATCATCTGCAAGTTCCACTCTAAGCTATTCACCATCCAGACTTGGAGATATGTTGCCTTTCCTTCAGTGTCATTAGGTCAAAATCCTGGAACTCCCCTCTGACAGCATTGTGTGGGTTACTAAAGCAATGGATTTCAGTTCAACAAGGCAGCTTATCACCTCCTCAAAAGCAGTTAGGGATAGGCAATGAATCCCGAATGCCATGAATTAATTGGAGAAAAACAATGAGTGTAAAAGTTGAGATATAAAATAGGTGCCATTTTGCTAATGTGCTGTCTGCATCGAAGTATGAAATTTAGAATTACCCTGATACTTTTACTGCACAAAGTATTGTATTTCTAAGATAGTAGGAACTGCAGATGCTGGAGAATCCGAGACAACAAGGTGCAGGGCTGGATGAACACAGCAGGCCAAGCAGCATCATAGGAGCAGAGAGGCTGACGTTTCGGGCCTAGACCCTTCATCAGAAAAGGGGGAGGGGAAGGGGGTTTTGAAATAAATAGGGAGAGAGTGGGAAGCGGATAGAAGAGGGATAGAGGAGAGGATAGGTGGAGAGGAAACAAACAGGTCGAAGAGGCGGGGATGGAGCCAGTAAAGGTGAGTGTATGTGGGGAGTTAGGAAGGGGATAGGTCAGTCCAGGGAGGACGGACAGGTCAAGGGGGCGGGATGAGGTTGGTCGGTAGGAGATGGAGGTGCGGCTTGAGGTGGGAGGAGGGGATAGGTGGGAGGAAGAACAGGTTAGGGAGGCAGGGACGAGCTGGACTGGTTTTGGGATGCGGTAGGGGGAGGGGAGATTTTGAAACTTGTGAAATCCACATTGATACCATTGGGCTGCAGGGTTCCCAAGCGGAATATGAGTTGCTGTTCCTGCAACCTTCGGGTGGCATCGTTGTGGCACTGCAGGAGGCCCAGGATGGACATGTCGTCTGAGGAATGGGAGGGGGAGTTGAAATGGTTCGCGACTGGGAGGTGCAGTTGTTTGTTGCGAACCGAGCGTAGGTGTTCTGCAAAGCGGTCCCCGAGTCTCCGCTTGGTTTCCCCGATGTAGAGGAAGCCACACCGGGTACAGCGGATGCAGTATACCACATTGGCAGATGTGCAGGTGAACATCTGCTTGATGTGGAAAGTCTTCTTGGGGCCTGGGATGGGGGTGAGGGAGGAGGTATGGGGGCAGGTGTAGCACTTCCTGCGGTTGCAGGGAAAAGTGCCGGGTGTGGTGGAGCTGGAGGGGAGTGTGGAGCGGACAAGGGAGTCACGGAGAGAGTTGTCCCTCCGGAAAGCAGATAAGGGTGGGGAGGGAAAGATGTCTTTGGTGGTGGGGTCGGATTGCAGATGGCGGAAGTGTCGGAGGATGATGCGTTGGATCCGGAGGTTGGTGGGGTGGTACGTGAGGACGAGGGGGATTCTTTTTTGGTTCTTATTGCGTGGACGGGGTGTGAGGGATGAGGTGCGGGAGATGTGGGAGACACGGTTGAGGGCGTTCTCGACCACCGAGGAGGGGAAGTTGCGGTCCTTGAAAAACGAGGACAACTGAGATGTACGGGAGTGCAATGCCTCATCCTGGGAGCAGATGCGGCGGAGGCGAAGGAATTGGGAATAGGGGATAGCATTTTTGCAGGAAGGTGGGTGGGAGGAGGAGTATTCTAGGTAGCTGTGGGAGTCGGTGGGCTTGAAATGAATATCGGTTTCTAGGTGGTTGCCCGATATGGAGACAGAGGTCCAGGAAGGGGAGAGAGGTGTTAGAGATGGTCCAGGTAAACTTAAGGTTGGGGTGGAAGGTGTTAGTGAAGTGTATGAACTGTTCGAGCTCCTCGTGGGAGCACGAGGCGGCACCGATACAGTCATCAATGTAACGGAGGAAGAGGTGGGGTTTAGGGCCGGTGTAGGTACGGAAGAGGGATTGTTCCACGTAACCTACAAAGAGGCAGGCGTAGCTTGGGCCCATGCGGGTACCCATGGCTACCCAAGGTTACCCAAGCTCCTATAATGCTGCTTGGCCTGCTGTGTTCATCCAGCCCTGCACCTTGTTGTCTCATTGTATTTCTAATTTTATTCTAGTTTTTTTCCTACATTAGATAAAAATGTTAGATTTTATTTAGTTCTTTTGTTCCAAAAATTGCTTATTACGTTTTAGTTTTGGGAAAATATCTTTGCCTATATTTTGGCCCTTGATTGTCATAAGTTACTTTTGGCAAAAAGTTTTAGAATTGTTTAACTTTCCACAACATTTTTGATCGCAATAATGTTGAAAACTAACGAAGTGCTGCTTGACTAACTGCATTTCACAGCAGTGCCACTTTAATTAGCATGGTGATGGGTTCCCTTTCAATTATGGGTAGCAAATCGGCTTGTGTAAGAAAAACAGAAGTTGCTGGAAAAGCTCAGCAGGTCTGGCAGCATCTGTGAAGATCTGAGTTAACGTTTTGACTCCAGACACGAATTGTTAACTCTCATTTTTCTTCACAGATGTTGCCAGACCTGCTGAGCTTTTCCAGCAACTTCTGTTTTTGTTTCTGATTTACAGCATCCTCAGTTCTATTGGGTTTTTATTAAGTGGGCTTGTGAAGCTGGAGAGTCAGTAGACCATCTTGTAGCTTGAGGAACGCTGTAATGTCAGCTAAATAGTCAGTGGTTTACCTTAAATTTGAGAAATAAACTCATGGAATTAGGCCACCACTGGGGAGTAGGGAGGAATCCATGGGGTTGCTTTTGCACACATATATAGGCCCTTCGGGCCTGTCTTCAGTGCTTGCCCTAGTCTGATGACAGGTGCCCACCTATGGACTGTTGAAGTGCCCCCATCGGTGCAGGAAACTAGAGGGCAATTGGAAAATTGAAATTGACATTTTCTAATTTGATAACAAAGCTCTAGATAGCTACCAGCTGCATGGCATAGGCAGCCCGACCAACTCTGATCTTCCAGCATTAAATTGAGGAATCATGTTTGGAAACTGACTCACAACCAGTGACTGCATTTTTTAGCATCCATCTACCTCTGTTCCTATGTCCAGAACGGTCTTGAAATATACCTATCTCCAAAAATGGTCGTGAGTATTTCTAGGATTTTCAGTGTTTTTTGTCCGCTTCTTTTTAATTGATGAAAGCAAAAGGCTATTATGCCACCATTTATTTCTCATGAGTAGGATGTTGTGCAATTCTGGAAATTGTATCAAAGGTTGCACTGTTTTTGCCTGTTTACCACTTATCTCAACATCAAATAATAAAAGTCTTTTGTCTATTTTTAGGTGGAAGTCAAGCCATATGTCCTTGATGATCAGCTGTGTGATGAATGCCAGGGTACCCGTTGTGGTGGGAAATTTGCTCCATTCTTCTGTGCCAATGTCACATGTCTGCAGTATTACTGTGAATACTGCTGGGCTGCCATACATTCTCGTGCTGGAAGAGAGTTCCACAAGCCACTCGTGAAAGAAGGAGGAGACCGTCCACGTCAAGTTCCTTTTCGTTGGAACTAAGCTATTTAAACCTGTTTCTAGTGGCAAGATTAGAGTGCTGTATGGCTGCAGACACCAGATTAGCTAGGAAACTAAATAAGTGCATTCTTCTACTGCCTCATCCCAGATTTCAAAATGTATGTCTCAAATTTTCACTTCAAAATAATTTGGTTTAACTCTAGTTTCAATGTTTTCTGTAACCATTTACTGACTTGTGATAACACTGGATATTTGATCCTTATCTTAATGAAATAATACAGATTCAGTCAATGTGCATGATTGGTAGTTCTGGGTCATGTGCTTGGACAGGTTGGTGCTGTACTTGATGGGAATGTCATGTTGCAGAAACTGTGATCGGGAACCAGTTTTAGTTGTATAGACAGAATCTAAAATTAATGTGAAGTTATACTGCAGCCCTTCTATGTTTGGGTTTTCAATTAAATTATATCTAAAGTAGGGGAACAGCACTATGTATTGTATAAAAGTCTTAGATTTGCCCTCCAACAATATGAATCCCAATTTCTTTTTCGAACTGTGTCTGTGTGCTTTTAAAAATTGTTTCGAACACACTACAGGCTTCACTAACAGGTGTGGGGTAAATGCTTTTGGTGCTTCCCTATCAATTCACCACTACCCCAAAATACACAATGTAAGAAAGGGATTTAGATTGCTGCTACAGTTGAAGTGTGCACTTATTTCAGAAATGAGAAACCACAATTTGAAGATCTGCTGCCCCTAAAAGTTTACCAAAGTTGTTGAGATTGACACGTTTAATTGTAGAGAGGCATTTTCCTTGCTGGAAGAGATTTTATACCTTTATTTTTTTGATGTTGCTATTTACAAAGTCGACTTGATCTACTAATATATTGTCATGTGTCAGCTTTTGCTCTCCATTTTGACACACAAAAAGTAATACCTCAATTGTAGCCTTGATTTATATTTTTTTATTTTTAGTGATGCTGTTTAATTGCAAGAGACAATAGGAGCCTTGCTGCTGTTTAGATGGTATGACAATTACCATTTTTTTTCCAGTAAAATGGGAATTAGAAATAACAAAGAAAAAGGCTACAATGCAACACAACTAGATGTAGCACAGGCTATGGCTTCAGCTGCCTAAGATTTTTTTTATTTTTATTTTTTATGTGGAATAGTATGAATGATTGAATGTTTACTTGTACACCTGTTTTGCATGCACTATATATTCATACATTTGCCCATTATCTACAGTACTTATATTCTGCCTATAAATCTTTTGTTTATAAAGTTACATTTTGAAAATGTAAATGGCATACAACAAAGGAAACACAACACCATTTGAGTGCCAAGGTGCATGTTTGTGTTACTGTAGGTTAGCATGTGGTGTCATGACACTCTAAGTGTATACTATGCAGGTTGGCTTTAAGTGGTACTGCGCCCTTGCAAAGGCGACGTAGGTGCTGGACTGCATTGAAGGAATTATCTCCTTGTGATTATTGCGTGATTCAGCCAAAGGTCGTTATGCATTTGTGATTTTCTTTTATATGTGAAAGGTTATTGTTCCTTACTCTTGCTATTTTTTCTGATACAGCGCATAGCATCTTCAAACTCCTGCAAACCAAAGACTGGATGATTCACTGCAACCTGCTGACTTGTGACCCACAAGTAACACACTGATAATGGCAGTGAAACTCTTCCTTTGAAGTAATAGGGTTTAAATAACTAAACCAGGTCAAAATGGAGGCATTTGCTGTTAAATGATCAAGTTTAAAGAGTTTAAATTTGATCTGTGTTTTGACCACAGTGGTGATAAACTAACAGCAGCAGAGAGTTGTGAGGATGCTTATCATTTAGCTCGTCAGGGATTTACTATTAAAGTAAAGAATATGTAATTCTTAGTGGCAATCTTTAAGCTATGGAAAGTGCTGGCTATCATCCTTTCTTGGTGTACTGGTGTGCTGTTGTGCCATTCCTGCCCAACTCTGGTGTTTGTAGGTGTAGTGAATTAACATTTTTGAAATTTGACACTGAAAGATAACTTTTCTACTACTAGTTAACTCCCTTTTTAGGTAACATTCTACCTTTGAACTTTTTGGTATGTTGTTTCTCTAGTTGGCTTTTTGTTCTCCTTTTCTTTTTATATACATATGTCAACATTTGTTATGCACTACTTTTGTAAATCTTGTTTTTTCCAAGTTAATATTTTTAAGCTCACTTTTTTCACTGGCATCTCTTTTGCAATACCTCGATTTTTCATAATCTAAAAGAGATTAATAGTTTTTTCTACGTTTGTTATTCTAAGATTTGCACATATATAGTTAATTTAATTGTGCAAAGAAATGAGTTGAAGCAATCAATTTTGTTTCCATTTCCTGTCCTTATTTTCTTTTAACATTTGAAGGCAAAGAGAACTTTGAATATCATGAACATTAGGGATCAGCAATGCTGTTGATAAAACTGCAGAGTCTGAAAATCCATAGTCATAGAAAATATAATCCTCCCATCACCAGGTGTTGGTGTTCATAAGTGTAAAGTAATAACACTGTAGGTATTAGAACCTGGTTGCAATATCAGCCCAATCCTCATGGTTTAAATGTGGATTCTAGTTTCTTCCAATGTACACTGTATTTTCAGCTAATATTCTTTGAGAATAATTATATAGACTCCTTTTCATGGTTCCTGTACCTATGGTACAGTAACTGACCTGGCACAAATTACAAGAGACACACACAACAATTAGCAGTAAACTTTGACATATGGATTCTTAGGTGTTTGATGGTTAGAAAAAGATTGACTGGTTTTTAATGGACAAAACCAGTTTGAACTGCCATCAAGTTACCTCAATTCTCGATAGTGTGCAAGGCTGAAATGATTAAGAAAATAAAAGCATGAGTGTAAACAAAAAAATGTAAACTTCAAAACTTACTTGTTTATTGTGTGTTGTAAAGTTGTTTACACAGGTTAAATTTCATTTCTCACTTGCCCATAGCATGGCAAATATATCCTCATACACAGACCTCTGCAGAATGCATGATTTTAAATCTGATCTTGTGGTTCAAGAAGGAAAGGATTTTATGAATGTCATTGGAAGGACTTGATAATTTATTCTTTGTGTCTGGATTTTAAGAATTTCTTACAAAGTTACAGAAGACTTGAATGTGGTAAATTGTGGAAAGTTTATGTCATATTGTTATGTGCAATACTTTTTTTCTAACTTCTGAAAAAAAACTTTACAGTGTAAACCTTTAATGCGATTTTTTTTAATTGCAAACATTCAGATTAATATGTTGTCCACAATGTCATTTTCTACTGTTATTATATTCCCTTTTATCTTACTGATATTTGTAAATTCAGAATATGATCTTTGTACTAATATAAATAATTGAAGTTATTTTTAGATATGGACTAAAGGAAAAATGTGCTTGTTTGCTTATTTTTGTTACCTTACTTTAAAAAGTAGCAAAGACTACTTTTCTCAGCAGCATTATAATAATTGGGTCAGTATCCTGTCCAGCATTTTATTTTTTGGTATTTTAAATTGAAATGTATAATTAGTTTTTTATCATTTTGACCATCAGATTTTTTATGTTGTAATATTTTTTGAATGTGCAGCTTTTTTAATATTTTAAGATGTCTAGTTTTTATTGAAAGCTTATGTATTCAACACTGTATGGCAAATATTCATAAAAAGAATAGTTATTTGTGGAAGTCGGCCATCAGTGGTGTGTCTCTGTGGCTGAATTCTTTGTGTGCTTTTCACTGTTTGGGGAGGTTGTAGTGATGATTAACAATTTTAAATAAAGGAACTCATTTTTATTAATATTTGTTCACTTTTTTGAGTTGATATTTTATGTACCCCCTCCACTAAATTATTTGGTACAAAAATGTCCCTTTTCTGCGGCTTGTTTGTTGAAGTGGTAGTAAAACATAATGTTGTTGAAGTTTTATGCCAACTATTTATAACACTCAGTAATTTTAAAATATTTGTAATGTGAAATGTTGAATGATTAAAGTGTTTCAATGTACTGTAAATGTCTGAGCTTTATACTAACACTGGTCTGCAAATTATTTTTTATTTATTTGTTTTGGACAAATAGCTAACCATTGCCTATACTGCTTCTATGTATTGCATCTTGAAATGTACCTAATACAGTATTCATGTTTTTATTGAAGGTGGTTCCTGCCTGTCTCTCTTATAGTCTTTTAATGTTGGTTTTAGAGGCCAGTTTAACATGAACTATTGCAACACGTGATTTGTTTACATGAGACCTCAATTGTAACACATGTTCATTACACTTTACAAATAGTTAGGTTTAAGCCTACATCCGAAACATCAAACAGAATTATAGAATGAGAAGAAAAACATGTATAGCGTGTTAACATCAAATAATAGTTTCCATGACATTCAGTGTGGAACAAATGTCAGTTATGCAGTCTTAAAATTAGCCAATGTTTGTGATACTAAAGAATTTTTAAAGATAAACATGGTATATATTGAGAGCCAATTCAAGGGCCACAACTGTCAGAGTGCATCACATCTATCTCAAAATTTAAAATCCATTGGTGCTCTTCAGGCCAAAGGAATCCAGTGAAACAACGGGCCTTCTATGGTATTATGGTTACAGAAATAAAACATTTGGGCCATGGCAACCTAGTCCTTTGCCAGTTTCATCCTCTCCATATCCTTTGATATTACCCTTGTACATTAAACTATTTTGAAAAGGAAGTGGATAATAAAACTATTTGTAGCAGACCTTCACATTCTAACCATGCCCTATATTTAAAAATGTCTTCTAGCCTATACTTCATTTTTTACTTCGTTCAAACTTTATCTCCATATACTCGTGTGACTAATGGACAGTTAAGAGTCCATCACATTGCTGTGGATTTGGAGTCCTATGTAGGCCAGACCAGATAAGGATGGTATTTTCTTTTCCTAAAGAGCAATAGTGAACCAGACTTTTTTTTTCCCAGACAATCGACAACTGTTTCATTGTTGCCATTAGACTACTAATTCCAAGTTTTTATTGAACTCAAAATCTACCTGCCATGGCAGCATTCAAACCAGAGTCCCCAGAAAATTACCTGGGCCTCAAGATTAATGGTTAAGCAAAAGTACAATTAGGCCATCACCTGCCCTTATGAAAAAGTTAACTAAATGGCTGTAGATCTCTAAGTGGGAAAAACTTATCATTTTATTTGTAACCTGCTATGCTCACATCACCTTTATGTTTCCTCAATTAATATTAATGTTTTTCTCAGGTCCATCATGCAAGTGTCTTGTAGTTTGATACATTCATGTACATTTTAATATGACTAATGCATGTCTTTTGGAAGTAGGAATTTTGAACTCAATATAAAACAAGGAATGCCCTAGATGATAAGAACTATTAATAAGTCAGTTGTAAATTGGATTTTTTCCAAAACTACAAAACATATCACCTTGTAGATTGGAGATGTAGGCTTCATGTTGAAATGATTTTTGATTTACTATGGGTTTTTTAAATGGATGAGTTGAGTAAAGGACATGAGATAATAGTACATATTAATTACTCTGTCCTCATTCCATAAATGCACCCCCAGCAGCAAGATAGCTGGCTTTTAGGTTATTTTGAAGCCATCGGCTGCAGTTACAAGGTACCAGTGAGTAGGTAAACTTGATTTTACCTATTTTTTTTTTGTTTTGGAGAATTATTTTTCCTTGGGTTTTGTCAGCATTTCTCCAATCCAACTGAAACCGAGAACTCCAAATCATAATATTGAACTCTCATTCTTTCTGCCCTAGCACCATACTTTAGTGCTCATCATTTGTTTCTTTTTTCTACATGTCTCGTGGTCCATCTGAACACACTTTAAATTTCAATCAGATTTTCAGCTTGCTTTGGTCATCTTGCAACTCTCAGCATTGTCTCAGCTATTTTGGGGATTGAAATAGTCTTTGGAAATTTTTTACATTTGTCTAGTTTTCTGTTGCTGCATTGTGTCTCAACCTTACAAGCACACTTGATTCAGTATTGAATATCCTACAAAAAAAATTGTTAAAAGGTGTGATGCAGGAGTAGTGAATATTCGACTTGCGGTCAAGCTAGCTTATTAGCAATTTTTTTTAAAAGGAACAAAAATATGCTCTAACCCCTTCCTTGCTGAATTAGAGTACTAAATGAATATTTCTAGTTAAAACAAAAAATGAATTCAAATCATCTCCCAATCTGCCAGTCATTCTCTATCCCCATTAACTGGCGAATGAAAGATTATAATTTAAGATTTTTTAAAATTCTGCTATAGGATACAAGCGGTGAATTGAAATATTTTTGTTCTCTTCAATATTAAACATTCAGAGTAATTTTGAGGTCTGAGTCATTCCTGAATAGAACTTTTTAAATTGAAATACTGCAGGTACTTTTGCCTGTAATGTCCATCTATGGGGAGGTTGGAAGCAGAAGGGTGGAGCAGCTCATCAGTTTTTTATTTACTTTTTTATTTTCTTGTCCACCCAAGAAGTCTTTATTCACAGAAACAGATCCCTTTTTTGTTCTTCACCATCCCAGTGGTGGTAAAAAGATCAAATGAAAGAACTGTAGATGCTGGAAATTGGAAACAAAAACAGAATTTGATGAAAAAACAGGTCTGCAGCATATGTGGAGAAATGTTTCGGGTCCCTTGTTCAGAATGCTTTTCCCAGCAATTTCTGGTTTTTGTAGTTAAAAACACTACAGGAAATCACTTTCTCATGTAAATTGCATGTGGTTAATTAGCAATTTAGACATGACACTAACAATAATAGCAAATCCCTTATTAAAACCATTTAAAATCAGCACCAATGGCTTAGGCACACATTTCCATTAATTCTTTTCAGCAACACTTTTCTATTCAGCAACTCTTTGAAGAAATATACATCTTTTGCAATCAAGCTCTGAGCAAAAGTAGTATCTCTCAATATATCATTTTTAGGTCAGCCCTTCAGGAAAAAATGACTTTTCCTTCAAAATATAAAAAATTCATAATTCCTCACATCTCTTTCAATTAGTGGTGTAATATTTTCAGGAGGATTACTAGCCACCTGGACTAAAACTACATTTTATAGTTTTAAGCTCCAATAATCTGCCTGTAAATGCTCGATTCCATGACAATGTAAACGCTGTTGGCATTTTTAATTAATTCTTATCCTCTGCAATTTTTTTGACCACCTTGAAAGTCTGTCTTTTCACTACAACTAGAATCTTTCTTACTATCAGCTGCCACATCTCTCCAGACCTTGTGTGGGTTTCCAAACAATGATTTGTTGCCGTTAAGGTGTTTGGTGGGAATAAAATTATAGCTATCAACCAAAACAGTGGCTTCCATTTGTATTAAATTCTATTGTCCTTGAAGTGCGGTCTAATACTGGCTAAAGTATTATTTTTAAATTCTTCCCATTAATAGCACTTCTCCCTTTCGCTGAATAATAAACTATATCCCCTGGTAAATTACACAAAGTTTGAGTCTTTTCCTTCGATTCTGAAATTTTAATAGGCTTTTTGAAATGTGTTCATTGCGTTCACTATCATAGTCTTAAAGGTTTCATGAAAGGCTTGAATAGACATCCAATGCCTTGCCTACAAAAAAAAAACTTTGTAAATGAGCGTGTGATTTAGGAACAGGAGTAATGAATACTCATTGCCAAGCTAGCTTAGTAGTAATTTTCTCACTAAATCTGAGCACGAGGTGAATATTTCTAGTTAAATCAAAAGATGAATTTAAATCATCTCCCAATCTGCCAGTTCTTTCCTATCCCCATTAACTGAATGAAGAAAGGTTTTCATTTGTTTTCTTGATTCTGCTACAGAATTGAACTATATTCATTCTTCTGTCCATAAGCAGAGATGTACTTTTTAAGAAACTAAAACAAAGTTGCTGGAAAAGCTCAGCAGGTTTGGTAGCTTCTGTGAAGAGAAATCAGAGTTAACATTTTGGGTCCAGTGAACTAGCATTTATTACCTATCCCTAACTGCCTTATTTTTTAAGCTTGTGTTCCTCTACAAACAGGCTGTGATGTGTTTTCCCCAAAAAACCATATTTTTGTGAAATCTAAAAGTTACCCACAGCAAACTCATTAGGGTTAAATCAATGGTATGATTTATTCATGCATTCAAATTTTGGGTAGGATTATCACAACACTAATAAAGAAGAAAGGAAAGGAAAGTGGTCATAATTGAGACTAACTTTATTTTTTAAAAATTCAAAGTTATGGCATTCATTCATGTAAGTTGTCTGAGTCTAGAAAGTTAGTGCCCAATGAAGATACTTGTCATGGGTTGAACTTTTAGAATTCATTTAAAGTTGAAAAAAGCACAGTGAGATGAGATGGTATTCACTTTTATAGCAGTTACAAGGTTTCTTCTAGAGCTGGAGAGATTTAGATTAGAAGTTGCATGTATGGGGCTTGTGGCTTGGTAGTGTCCCTGCCTCTGAGCAGAAGGCCATAGTTCAAGATCCATCTACTCCAGAGGTGACTTCTATAAGTCATACAGCATAGAAACAGATCCTTCAGTCCAACTCGTCTGTGCTGACCAGCCTATAAGAGACAGCACTCGTCCTATCTTCCTCCTGGCCAGAGGTAGAAATACTTACCACTGCCTGGGATTCAATTAGTAGACATCTAGAGAATGAGAAAATAAGTTAAAACCACCTTTTTTAGAAAGGAAATCATACTTGATTAACCTGGTAAAGTTCTTGGGAAGGTAGCACATACATTGGACATTGGACTTCAATCTTTCTAAACTTTTGACAGGTTGTCAGACAATAAACTATTGGAGAACCTCAACAGATATACAATTAGGG